TGATGGAGGAGAGTCGCCGGGCGTTTCGATCAAAGCCGCGATGCTACGTCAACGAGATTAGTTAGACGATCAATTCCTTCTGGTTGAACAGGTACATCTGGTACAGTCACCAGAGGGATCTTATAAAGGAGGAAGAGAACACACCCTCACTCCAACTGCTGCTTGATCAGTGGCCTTCTAATAAAGACGCTGTAGGTTCCCTCATTTCTGCTGACCTCTGCGGTCCAACAATGGCAGCTGGACGAATTCATTGTCTGCGATGGAAGACCAACAGATTTATGTTGCTAACACTGTTCGTTTGTTAGCAGAACCGTGCTGCCTGTGACGTCCTTTGTGCTGATCATTGAAACTTCTATTAAATGAGACGCCGGCGGATACAGACTTTCTCTCGTTCATATCGGTCGTTATCAGAGGAGGAAACATCAACGCCCTCGTTGGCACGCTGACAGCGGTTAACAAGTGAGATGCCGCAGTGATGATGTTTACTTCCACCTACGAACCAGGATTGGTCTGTTGTGTTTAATAGATTTAAAAACACAAAAGTATCTATAAATGAATAAAGAATGTTTGACCACAGAGATCCTGCTTATGTATTTTATTGTTTAATATTTACTGGAATGCAAGAATTATTTTTCTATCAGCCCCCAAGACACGTACGACCAACATGTATGAAAATTGGTACACGTATGTATTATTACCTGAAAAGCCAAAAAGTCTCTTGGTCCTATTTCCCAAACCCAACAGGAAGTCGGCCAGTTGTATTTTAATAAAGTCTTTCTAGAGAATTGATAGGATAAACTTCAAAATTGCTGAGTAAACTCTAAAGAAGTGCACGATGAAAAGTTGTAAAAGAAATCTTGGATTTTCATCAAAGAGCGTCCGTGGTGTTAAAAAAAATTTGAAACAGGAAGTTGTTCTAACATCAGTGTACTTTGTCCAACCTGCTCCAAACTTCACGTTTGAATATTGGTAGATGTGTTCAGGGCGGGACTCATTTGAGTCATATTTCATAGCTATTGGAAACAGGAAGTAAAGCTTGTGTAGCATAATCATCTGATTTAATTGACATTTCACAGTGTCGTCTACACGACGCAACCGCAGTATGCCCCGACACACTCGCACTGCAAGGGTTTGATCATCACTGCTTGCAGCTTTATTTTATTTGTTACATTTCATTCTGCTCTGTTTTACAATGTTTGCTCTCTCGTCCCCGTCAGGATTAAGTCAATTATCGGCCTTTCGGTGGCCCCGCATTAAGAATCTGACCATTTGATCAATTGCATAGTGGTAATTATATTATATTCAGTTAATTTCATTGCTGTGTGTGAAGGGGAGGATAATTCCTGCTGGCTCAGCTCTCCTCCGTCCTACCTCAGCTCTTCCAGCCGGTGATTGAACTCATTCTGACCAGGAGCTACCTTGGTTCTTTGGAGCTCATTTGCTAATTGAAAAGTGATTGACAAATCAGAAGCTCCATGACTGGGAATCCCCTCAGCCAATTTCCAGCCTCCTGGTCCCTGCACGTGAAGGAGAAGTGAAGATGATGTTTTGAATGCTGAGGCGAGCGAGCGGCTGCAGTGACTTCCAGGAAGGATTCGGGAATGGAGCGGCAGAAGCAAAATCCTTCATTGTAATTCCCGGCGGAGGAGCCGTCCGGCGGCTGAAATGCCTTCTGTCAGTGCCTTTAAAAGTGAGCAATAACAAATCTCCAGGCTAATGGTCAGTGAATTATGCCGCCAGCCTGTATAGACGGAGTGGAGGAGAGTGGAGGCTGCAGCAGAGCAGGGCCCCAATCTCCCCCTGCCTCACCTCCTCCACAGCCCCATTACCTGTCACCCCGAGCGCACCACAATTAACAGAGACAAGTCCTTTCTGTGCTTGCAGGAGAGGAGAGCTCGCAGCTCCCCGGAGAGAGCCCTGGATCCTGTCTGATGGTTGTCAGCAGCTGCACAGGGAGCTCCACTTTGTTAGAGAAGCTGGATTTTAATGGCAGAAAACCAGCAGAGCCACCAGTAATCACACAGTGCTGCTCGGGGACTGTTCAAAACGCATAGGGTAATGGACAGAGGCTGACGGAGAGGGACGTGTTGGTGAACCCCTGAATGCTCTGTACAAGTGAAGGTGAGGAACCTGAGCAGGATGTATATGGAGAGAAGATGAAGCCCAGAGAATGAGCAAGTGAGAGCTGCTCCAGCTAAACAACAAGAACTCAAATAAAATCTATAATCATTAAACAGTGTGTAAACTCTAGAGCTTTGTTCTATATGTAGTTGATTCAATCAATAATCAATATTCAGAAGCTGTCATACACTGACTGTTTACCATCCACTGTTTAGATCTTGGTGCTTTTTTTTATTATATTATTTTTTTGGCCTTTTATTGCCTTTATTTGATAGATACAGTTGAAGATAGACAGGAAAGGGGAGCAGAGAGAGGGGATAACATGCAGCAAAGGGCCGCAGGTTGGACCCTGGGCCGCTGCAGCAAGGACTTAGCCTCGACACATGGGTCGCCAGCTCTACCCACTGACCCAACCGGGCGCCCTAGATCTTGGTGCTTTTTAACTCTAGATTTGAACCGGATGAAGGATTTTAGTCATCGGAAGTCTGGATCTTAAGTTATCAGAGAAACAAGCTGAGCTAACGTTAGCAGCAGCTCGGCTCGCAGCCCCTCCGGGACGTCCTTTGTCCCTAAAATTCAATTTAGTATCTTACTAATGTTATTTAATCTTCTTTTGACATAAGTGAGCTTCCATACATTTATCTAAAGCATCAACTGAGTACAAATAAAACTTCTTGTGTCTTTTTCAGGCATTAAAAAAAATTTGTTTATTTTTAATTTTATCATTCCTGACATTTGCTTGACATAAATGAGCTTCCATAACCGTTACTGAAGGCATCAACTGAGTCTCATTTTCAAATTTATACAGAATTCAAGGTTGAAATTTAGGCATCACAAAAATAAAATATAGTTAATTAAAGTAGCTAATAAATGTTATTTTTACATATTTTTTCTCTTATCATGATTGCATTTGATCTATATGACATAAATGAGCTTCCATACATTTGTCTAAAGCATCGACTGAATGAAAATAAAAATAAAGCAGGTCTCTAAATGTTTGTTGGCCTCACTTACTTTTACTTGCTGTGTGTAAACTGAAAGGTTTTGACTTTCTAACGACCTTTTGTCTGAACGCTCCCCTCCTCTTTTCAGAGCAGCGTCACCCCTCGTCCCCGCCAGTTAACCCCCGACACTCTGACAACAACTGACCAATCACAGCACTGTTAAAGAGAGAGCCCTGCTATCTACCCAGCATGCATGCTGCCCCGCCATCACTCTTCCTTAACGGTCTTTAATTAATCCTGATTATCGCTACAGGGGGTCATTGTCCCCGAATGAATGGCAGCATTACACGGTCAATTTACCGCTGTGTTCTTATCAATGCCAGCCTTACATAACCCCTGATTTAAAAGAGCTAATTAGCTGGAAAATACATGACAAGTCAATTGTGGCAGTGGAGGAGACAGAATGAAGCGGCGGCTCCAACAAATGTCTGCTCGCCACAGATACTCTTGTTCTGCTGTCTGCTGGGCCGGCCTGTCCCCAGATAATGGTTCAATTAACTGATTGATCCAACGACTCTTTGCTTTCTGAAAATGTTGTTTTACAAATTACGAGGTCACAAGTGAAGAAACACGATTTTCCTTTAAAATGAATAACACAATGAATAAACTGTTACACACAACTGTTTTTATTGAGTGTTATATCAGTATGCTGGTTCCCGACCTTTTTAACTTAAGTGAGCCCTCATCAGTGAGTAAACCGACTGTATTTAGTGTATATTTCAAATTCTATTGATCAATATCAATAACAGCTGATAAACTAAAGCATGAACACAAACTGCACTTTTTTATTTGCTACATTAGCTAGGTAGCAATTTGTCTGCGTTAGGAAGGAAGCTCACAATAGCACATTAGCCAGCTAAAACCACAATATCACAATATATTATCACAAGCTTTGCAGTAATGTTGAAAGCTTTGGTGCTGGTTGTTTGTAGACGTTACACTTTCATTCATAGTTTCTCTGTGTTACTCTCCACCTGTTCTGTTGTTTTTCTGCTACCACAATGTGCAGCTACAGCGACTTCCATCGGTCTAATCATATTTAAAGTATTCTTTGTCTGAACCAGACTGGACCCAGTTCTCCGTTTTTTTGCAGTATAGTATACATACAATAGTTTACTTTAACTTGTAATAAACTATTTAAAATTATTTATTTAAAGCAGATATTCGGGCTCGGCTCCATCAAAGCTCTTGTACTGACAGTATGAGTCCATATGAACATCTAACTGTCTGTAAGAGAAGAAGAGGATGTCAAACTTTAGCAGTTGAGCTCAGTTGTGATGAAACGTTCTGTGTAAATAAAGCTGCCTCCACAGTGGAACCAGCGTGCAGTTTGTGGTTTATAGATATAAAAAAAGAGCAGGACGGTGCAGCTGCTGACTCTGACGGCTTGAAGGAATTACTGAAGGAACGGCGTTTCGTCCATTTATTGTTTAATGCCACATTAGCAATCTGCAGTGTTTGGGAGACGCTGCCAGTGGAGGCAGCTCGGGGCAGATGGGCCGGTCCGTAAGATAGATCCACTGCCACATAAATTCCCCGCTGCCATCAAAAGCCAAAGGAGAAACAGCACTAACAGCGTGTTATGGCGAGTCCGCCGCCGCTGCCAAAAGCAACAGTTCATGCTTTTTCCCTATTCAGACATTTGAGGGATAGATTCAGATGTTAGCTCTCATTAGTATTACTGAGCAGGAGAGAAACAGAGAGCACTCGCTGCAGCCACATAATGAGACTGCAGATGTGCTGCTTTTTACACTCTTTGTCCTCCGTATCAGGTTCATTCATCAGCTGCACAAACCTACAGCTGCTCACCTGAGATCCTCTCAATCCTCTGACAGTTTCTGCTGCAGGTTCACACACATGTTGATTCTCCAATACCTGCCTGAACAAACAGGACCCCACAGTCCGGACCATCAGGGACCAGCAGGACCCACAGTCCGGACCAGCAGGGTCCAGTCCGGACCAGCAGGGACCAGCAGGACCCACAGTCCGGACCAGCAGGGAACAGCAGGGACTTCATCTGGAGTCTCCAGACCTCCACACAGACATGATCCATAAAGACACTGTCATTAGTTTAATACTCACTTTAACCACTTTTGTGAATAATAATAACTTTTAGCTGCAATAATTTAATCATTTAGTTACAATTTAAAGGTCCAGTGTGTAACTGTAATATTATATTGATAGGATCCTTTTTATTACAACGATTCTTATTTTTAGGTGATTATTCAGTGTTTTTGTTACCTTAGAATGAGACTTGTTATCTACAGAGGGAGAGGGTCTTCTTTTGGTGGAGTCCGCCATGTTTTTGTCTGTTTCTGGTCGTTTTCTGTGTCTTTGTGCTAAACGTTTAATATCAACATATTCAGAGGCAGTATGTCAGACACACTTGGCCTTAGAGGACTACATTAAGATCTCATTAGTTTCTGAACCACAGTTAGTTAGCTGTTGGTTAACTTCTGTTAGCCTATATTTGTTCCGTTTTAGTTAAATGAAGTCCATTAAAAGTAGCCAAAGTAGCAATTAGCAGCTCCTGTTAGCAGTGCACTCAGATAAATATCAGTGGAATCGTTCATACTGAAGGAAACCAAACAGGAGGATTCTCAGGCAACTTCTGCAGCCAGTGTTTCTCCTGTATTTCTGAGTATTTCTGGACATTTTAATAAACAATCAGATGAATAAGTGAGACTTTGATAATTGTGTGAATCTGACCAATAACTGTATGATGAGACATTATGAAGGAATCATTTGCTGACTTTGGACAGCAACAACACTCACTGTCATCAAAAGATCTGCAAAGCAAACATGAGTAAGGCTCTGGATGCTCAGGAGGAAAAAGAAACAGAGGTTTATGGTTGGATGTGTGGGCGGCGGGGGCGTCCTGCGGAGGAGGCTGTTTTCTCTCCACACACTGGGCACAGAGCACGCCTCCGCTGCTCGCCAGTCTGACGTTAGCTCGCTGCGAGGCGTTTATTTTTGCTGCATCGTGTGCGGCAGCCAGAATATCCCTTTCATCCCGAGCGTCGTCCGTCCTGAGCCGACGTCTGCAGACGGATCTCCCGCCGGAGTGCCGGTAAAGAGGAGTGTTTGTCTGAGGGAGGATTGTACTGGGTCACAGAAACACCAACGGGCGTCACAAACAGCTTCAACAGAGAATATTACACATAAAGAACAGCTTTTTACAGATTATTGGCGGTCTAAAGAGACGTTTCTATTCAACATGAAGTCAGAAAACTCCATTAAACATTCAAAGTCTTCAATAAAAGTACAGAAGTCACAACATTTACTTCAAAACTGTGTTACAGAGAACGGCTCCATCAAATGTGACATTACTGGATTATTATTTTCATTATTATTATCAGTGTATGAACCAGAACCCAGACAACCAGGACGTCACTCCCCCCGAACATGAATAATTATATAATTATACAAACTGTAATAATTTACTTCAAAAACCAGTTGAAATGGATTACACTGAAAACTTTAAGTAACACAAACTCAATTATTTAAGTTAAAAAAGATTCTTCATGAAGTAACAGAAACTTTCCTGATTAAATAGATTTTACTGGGTATTTTGTTTACACAGTACAAATAAAATTATACAATTGAAATGACTAAATCTGCTTGATTAATAATGTTTTCTTGACTAACTTTTTTGGTTAAAATAACTTTTATGGTTTTACAGTGTAATAATTATTTGTCTCCTAACCTCCATAAAACTTAATGTTGGTGTTTTTTTTCTTTATTAATAACAAATAAGATACAAACCTGCTGCTGCAGTAACACAACGACATCAGAGAATAAAATAATAAACGTAAACAACAACAACAAAAAACAATAAATTATATTCACACATAAGTTCACAAAGTGTTTTGAACTTGCTTATACATTTATTTAATATGATGAACTCATTTTTAAGTTATTATAATATCATTCACAAGAAATTAGTTTCTTTTTAAAAACTGCTCCAACCTGAATCAGTTCAATCAGTATTTATGGATCTGGATCCAGTCAGTGATGTAAAGATCTCTACAGGCTTTGGACTGTTTGTATTGTTTGCAGAGTTCCCAAAACATCCTGGAAAACCTGGAAATGAACTTTGTTGTCTTGGAACATCTGAAATGTATTTTAGCTCGTCACTCCGATAAACCTGATGATGTTGTTAGTACACAGTGTACGGTGTTAGCTACGTACCACAAACGCTTTCTACTTCAACTGGCAACAGGTGAGGAGATTCTGGAAAACAAGTCAATTCTTCTTGCTGTTGTTTATTGACCGTGGCCACATTAATGTTACGTTAACCGCTAACTGCCATTAGCTCGGGCAGCTAATCTCTCAGCCCCGGGAGGCCAGGAGCCGGACCCAGCAGGAAAAGCTCGTAGCGCTAGCTGTTACTGGCTGCTGTAAACTCTGATCAATACCTGCGATACGTCTCTGACTGAGGGAACAAACAGCTCTCTGCTTCCTGTTGATCTGTGGATATTTCTCCTTCCTCAGCAGCAGCTCTTTCTGGACCTTTCTGTTACAATCGGACTGATAACTGACAGCTGAATAAAGAAATAGATCCAGTTCTATGAGCACATGCGGTCAGCAGCGTGGAGGCAGGAGGTCGGGGAGGTCCTCGCTCGCAGACCTGAGCCGATACATCACAGCAGTTTCCTCCAGTCTGCGGTGATAAGTGGTCTTTGTATCAATACAACATCTCCACCTGTACGAAGCCGCCATGCACGGACTCCAACGGAGGTTAAATGAATCACACTTGATGTTCTCTGCTGGGTCTCTGCGGAGCGCCGCCGCTCTCCCTCCTCTCTCTCGCAGAAACAATTGATTAGCGCCAAGGCTCTTAGGCGCGGTCATTTGCCAGCGATGGAGGCTCGGCCAGTGTGAATGTGGTGTCCTTGCAGATTTAGTGGTCACTTCTCTCAACTTTGCCCATTAACCTGAGTGCAGCAGGCAGTTTGCCCCCCCCTCCTCAGAGCACCGCGGGAACATTTATTACCCAGGGACACTCTAATGGATCCCAGTTAAGGTGTGTTAACAATTTTTCTATTGATTAATTGGAAGAGAATCATAGCCAGACTAACTTAGCCCAGAAGATTTAGTGGCTTTTAAGGTAGTAGCGATGAATATAATGCTTTAGAAAGAGCTTCTGTACATTATATATATGACACCTGCTACATTAAGCTACATTAAGCTTTAATACGTCTTCATTACTGGCACTCTGCCCAACCCCTTCAAGGTTGAAATAGAGATCCACCTTTCATTATACCACCCATCATCGCTCTATGGAGAGATATCAAATAATAATGGAACTGTTGAAACAGTTCTGCCTGAGTTGTTAATGTTAATCGATGTATTAAATATTAAAGATTTCCATAACAGGACTTTGAACTGCCGCCACGCTTTTCCCATCAGGACCATTCAGAACTGCTGCAGCGGGGTGAGAGCTGCTCTCCAGCTGTAATTAGGCAAAGTAGAGGATGATGACGACCTTTGACCTGTGGACACTCGCTGCTGCTGAAACAAGGGGAACTCAAAGACACGTTTCAACAGGTCATCAAACGGGTGATCTGAAGCGAATGCATCCAGTGACTGAAAGGGACCGACTCATCTGTTTTATCTTAAAGTCCACGAAACAGAAATCAGCTACGTCAGCTAACGTTAGCTGCACAACCTAACTAACTATTGGCTAACAGTTCACTGGGAGGCTGCTGAGCCCCGTTTGGTTGCACGCTAACAGCAGCTACATTAGCAGTGAGCTAACAGCAGCTACATTAGCAGTTAGCGGAGTTGAGGCAGAGCAGGAAGACTCAATGATTGGATTCTGATGTAAAAATGCATAGATGTTCTGTCAGTTGTTAAATATGGGAACAATACAACTGAGGAGATCTTTAAGGGTTAAACTGACAGTTTAACTGCTCTTTAACACATTTGAACAGATATTTTTTGTAACTTCCGACGTCCCAGAAGTTGTAAACCAGCTCACATCTTAATTGCATTTGTTTCCGGTGCCGGTCCGAACTCTCAGAGCAGCCATTATTATTATCGGGATGAGTCAGCTCCAATGCATCACGGCATAAAAGGGCCCCGAGAACATCGACGTGAAGGCAGACAGAGGGGGCCGGCTCCACTCTGAGCTGTCAGAGAATTAGATCAGGAGGAAAGTGTATGTGACAAGAGCTAATTAAGTCCCATCATGCTGCTGAAGCTGACAGGAGGAGAGGGAAAACGCCTGAGGTAATTGCATTTACTTCATCTTGTAATGTGGGCCATCATAACTGCTAATTCAATTGTACAATCATTCTGCCAACTCCTGGCCATTAAGCACACATTTAATTGCTTCCATAAAGCTTTTAATATGCAGCACACAGAGCCGGAGACGTGACATGGACCCTCGCCACCAGCCAACATGCAGATGTCCCGCCGTCACCACGGAGACACGGGGCCCGGGCGCGGCGTTATTGGACGGTCCTGTTTCCAATACATCATCATTAGATGAGTGTTCAGGGCCCATTCGGCGGCTGGATGGAGAGATATCAGCTGTAATATGCGTCTTTCTATTGTTGTGTGACCGCGGCGGCTGCAGACACAACGTCTTATCTTGTAAGGCGAGTTTATCTGCGCGGCACCTTCCAATAACGGGCAACTCAAAGTGCTTCACACGGGACATAAAGAGACATAAAGGCGAGGTATAAAAGAAACAGCAGGGGACGTAAAAAGAGCCGTAATTAAGAGTTTAAATGGAAGAACAGTAAAAGTCTGCAGCCACGGGAACAACATGGCTTCCAGCTAAATGCTAACAATGCTAAACACATCACATCACTGTAAAACCTCCTCGACTAATACCACATTTATTCAGCACAGTAAAATACTGTGGTTTAAATTGCATTGTGGGTAATAGTTTATCAAACAGGAATGTTTTACAGTATATTTTAGTATTGAAATATTAGTCACGGGAGATTATATAAATATATATATATATATAAAAAGTCTTTAAATATGAGATTGGCTCATAGAACA